ACTAGTAAAATTTCTAATTATATAAAGTAGAAAAACAACTACTTTTGGGACCAATTAAAAAACAATTACAAGAGGTTCCCTCGGGCTTTTGAACTGTAGTGTGTGTAAGTGTAAAAGTGGGACCTAGTTGCCAATTTAGTAGCACGCTTATATATATATATATATATATATATATATATTTTTTATATATATTTTTACGCGTGTATAATATGTTGCTTTTTATTGCAAAGTCAATTTCGTTTTCGCTTCGAACACCGTTAAATAGAATGGATAAAATGTGAAAATAAAAATACTAACAGCTAGCAAGATTGGAAATTTCATATCCTGTTTTTGTGAGCCCCTTTCAGACGTACAAAAAAAAACTTATACATTTACCGCAAAGAATCGGCAGAGTGCAAAATTCAAATTTAATACCTTCTTCATCCGATTTTCCTTACGCCATGCAGATTGCTTACATTTAGTCGTGTTACAGCTTAAATTTAAATCTTATCTGCGGCAGCTTTTCTTATTTGCCGATAAGAATTTCTAAATTTCATGCTCGTAAAAGGACAACATTTAAAATGGAAGGAAAAAACAAAAATCACAATGTAAAATCTTCAATAAATTCGGAGAGAATGTTTACTTATATCATCATTATTGGTATTATTATTTGTATAGAAAATAAATTATTAGTAAATATATATAAAAATAATGAAATAGAAAAAACGGAATTTAGATACCATGTAAAAAATAAAACTGAATGCAATTTCTTCTTTCCCAGATGAGCCGACTATATAAATTTAAGCGTGCTACTAGATTGGCAACTAGGTCCCACCCGTTTCCCTGTTGAAATACTTAAATGCAACTGTCACTTCTACTCTAAGAGTTTCTTTTCTCGCACTTCCCGCCTGTGAAACTCCCTTCCGTTTACTTGCATCCCTGATAACTGCAACCTTCAAAAATTTAAATTCAACGTCAGTCGCCATCTTTTATCTTCTTGAATCCCGTTCGTCTTTTCTCTTTTCCTTATTCCTCCCTATACTCAGTCTTTTCTCTCACTTCTACTCTCTGTAACACTCTGTGGACTAGTGGCATTGCTTGGGGTGAAATGATTAAAAAAAAATTATAAAATTTAAATAAATGCTTCCGAAAATTTATTTTTCTTCATAAATTTTAATTTTTATATTTATATTTATATATATATATATATATATATATATATATATATATATATATATTATGCAACTTTCCATCTAATATCTGCCTATATCTCTGAGATGAGGTATTATGATTATTTACATTATTCGGACTATTATCCTCAACTTCATTGCCATATTCACAACATTTGGGCTGTTGTACGCTCCGACCTTCTTCAAATGATTGAAATTTCGAAACGAACCCTTTATTTCGTCCACCGGGGTAGATTGTCCTAGTTCCACGTGCCGTGCCTCTGCCAGATGCCTTAGCTATTTTAACTCTCCAATTTTTTGGGTTCACCACTGCTATTGATCTCACTTTGGATCTAGTCACTGAATCTAACCAATGCCTTTATCCACAGAGTTATGTGTCCTTCAACGGAGCGTACATCGACCGAAACTTTGAATATGGCAATGAACATGAGGATAACAGTCCGAAAAATGTAAATAATGTTTCCTCTCTTTTTTTGGGGGGGTCGTTTTTAGTTATTTTTCATTCTTTTATGTCATATTTCTTCTTTGTTTTCTTTTTTTTTGTTCTTTTTTGTTTTCAACCAAATTATTTCGTTATTTCTTTATTGTGAATCATTGCACTTAACGTATTATTTTCTGCAATATTTCATGTGTTTATCAACAAACATCCATATTCTCTCGATGTGTTCTCCATCCAAATTCCTGCAAAATATTTGTTTTTAAGAAATCTGCTGTAAATTAACCGGCGCCAGTCTCAAAGAATTGGTGTCGAATACGATCAACAAACGCTGTTTTTGTTGTGTTGCTTTCTTTCAATCTTTTTTTTCCAAATTGAAACAAACATTAAGCCATTAAAACCCCAAATGAGTCTCCGAGGTAAAAACAGATTCAGATATAACAATGAAAATCAAACAACATGAGTCACACAAAAAAATGGCGACGCTGGTTTTAGGAATGAAATTCGTATTTTTCCCCCACTGAGCGAGATATCAGGTTGAAGCAAAATGAACATTGTGTAAGAAAATACGTAAACGGTGACATCTTTAGAATTGGAATCTCTAAACCTGGATTTCTCAAATGATTTTCGATGGTGATGAAATTTGAAGTGGCCGAGAAGTCTGAGCTGGCCTAATAGGGCGTTTAATGTTTATTAGTCTTGACAGAACGAAGCAATGAAAACCTATATATTCCAGGTAGCTTATTTAAAGAAAAAGAGCAGCCGTAAACATTGTTAAAGAGAGTTTCACAATTGATGAAAAATCCAAGGTACACACAGAAGTGCCTTAAAAATAGCAAATGACAAGGAGCGACAATCCGTCTACGCAACTTCTACTTAAAAAAAACAATATTTATTCTCAGCTTCAGTTACTATTTTCACACGTGTTTTACACTTCTGACGTCATGCCTGTATTATGATTGGCCGGTCCCTCTTATATTGGGTAGCTGCTTTTCTAGAGACAATGATGACGACGTAACTGTTGTTCGAATCGGTGCAACGTTACAACATTTAACATCTACAATGGTTAGAGTGTGCGACTGTCTACACCAACAGTTTCTTTTCTTGCACTTCCCGCCTGTGGAACTCCCTTACGTTTACTTGCTTCCCCGATAACTACAATCTTCAGGAGTACTCTTTTTAATTTCTGAATATTGACAATCTTACTTTCATCCAATTGTGAAACTGACAACATGCAATACGCAGGGAATTGATAAAGAAAATATTAGATTTTAGCCGAAAAACGGCTCATGCTTTTGAAAAAAAAATTACTTTTTGTTTGAATTTCTGGGATGCGGAGTTATCATTATTTACACTGTTACATTCGGATCATTGCGTTCGTCTTTGTTATTACAGCGTTCTGCACCCCCACTCTCTGAATTCAACCATTTAATTTATGGGGGTAGACTGTTTTCGCCTAATTCTAAATTTTAGATCCTGCATCCATTTAGAATTCTAATTTATAGAACCTGCATCCATTTAGGGTGGAAAAATGAAATGCGAGCTTGTTTCCTGTCGAAGACATTTTTCTTTTCTTTAGTCTTCTTTTAGGTGCCGTGTCCCTTCAGGATGTAGGAAATCATGGCCCTCCACATCTTCCTGACTCTTTTAGCTCTTAATAAGTTTTGTCTTTTTGTTATTTCTCCCAAGTTCTCTTAATTCTGAAGGGATAAGTATGCCACGCGTTTTTTTTCACTTCCATTTCGACAATTTATTGTTTAAATTCCCAGATGAATTCTTTGGACAAGACAGATTGGTATCAAATGACATCTGGGAATTTAATATATATTGTTCAAATGACAAAAAAAAAAATAATAATAATAACGCGTTTCCTTACTAAAAAGGTAAATTTTTTGCTTATTAGTTAAAAATTCAAAAAAAAAAATAAACGTTAGACACAAGCGTCTATCTTTTAAATTTTGAATTTTAAATTCCCAGTAATTCTATAACAGCAAAAACATTTCGATTTCATTTTTGCCTTTAAAAAGTCGGAAGACGAAAAAATCGTCGGCAAAATGTATGATTTTTTCCAATTGTCATTTGATACCAATCTGCCTTGTCCACAGAATTCATCTGGGAATTTAACATATATATATAAGGCGCACTTGTGTAAAGCACCCAACTGGAAAAGGAATGTAGCAAATGATGTGGAAGCTGTAAAATTTTTCCTTTTAAACAAAATGGGTTCTTTCTGTGGCAACAGCTGTCACAGCCGGTGTTGGTTACGATCTACAGCTTTGGTGATCAAAGGAGACCAAAGGAAAAGGATAAATGTGGTGACAGAAAGGAAATCGACACATTGAGAAGAACAAGTGTCTCGCTACAGCTGTTAGATATTCGAAATGGAACGGATGGACCAAATATGAAATCTTGAAAGGATGACAAATTACAACGTGTGACACATAACAAGTACACTCGAATAGAATAAGCTTCCTAAAAAAGAAAAGGGGGACAATAGACGACATCCTATCAACCTCACAATATGAGCCAATAAAACCTGACTGATAAAGTGCACATTGTAAGAATGCTTGCCACAAAGACTTCGGCACTTGTTCTGAGTATTCTCTGAAAATATACATGGAGAGAATCAAACAGATGGTGTAAGTACTTTCAGTTGGATTCCTCTTCTACATGCTGTGTGCCTTCAGAACGTGGGCGAGCAGAGCTTTTCCACAGTTTACTGTACGTTTTGAGTAAGAATTTTTTTTTTTTTTTTTTTTAGCTATTTCCTTCATTGGCCTGTTCTGCCAACAATTTACAGAAACTGATTGCTAGGTTATTCACTACTTTATTTCACTGTGCTTCTTGCCTTCAATATGCCCGACGTGTGTCAAATTCTCCAAGCCCTCTTCCTGTTCTATGGGACCTAGAAATGTCAATGTCCCATTGTGATTCTAAGCAGATATGACATTTTTAATTTCAATTTTCCTTAAAATAATCATGTTATTAACATCTTCACTCTATGGTATTTTCAGCATCATTTTGTACTACAAGACAAACTGACCAATGAAATTTTCCCAGCTCATTTAAAAATCTATCTTAAAGAAGAAAACATTTACTGAGCTACAAATAAAAAAAAATTGATTAATTTTCTGCGGTTTATCAACCCTTTGCAGGTTATTTAAAACCAGAAAATATTTTTAAATTGTAATATTTTTTGTTTTTTAGATAATAATGGTTTGGTGATACAAGTCTCTCTCTAATTAATACATAGATGGGGGAGAAGAGGTGGATTCATACCTTTGATAATGGTATTTGCGTGTAAGTGAATATAACGAACCCGTTGGGAATTAGAACTCTGCTTTCCGATTTGCAGTCCTGATCCGTTATTCATTACATCACCCCCACATCCAAGTTTACAGCACCTGGTATTTCCAAGCGGTCGCCCATCTAGATACTGAACAGGCTTGACATTGCTTAACTTCGGTGACATTACGGGAGCCGTTGTTCCAAATTGATATGGCCGTAAGACATATGGAAAAGAAAATGAAAGTCATTGTTTTATTTCCGCTTGCATTGTGCGCGGCGTCATCTTGTATCTAGAACGACCAGTATCCCGAGTTTTTTGTTCATTTTCCTTGTTCACCAAACACAAATACCAATATCCCCCTTAAGGTCGATGATTACTGAATGTAATTGTTGCATTAGCGTAAACAGAAGGAGCTAAGAAGTATGGTTTATGAGTATATGTAGGAAAGATAAAAGACTTGAAGAGGCTAAGATTGTAGGAATCATGAAAACATGCTCTCGGGTGTCTGTTGCACTAAGCAGTTATTCTTGGGAAGAACTCGCGTGATCTTTCCTGGAATTTTCCACTTACTAAGGAAATACGAAGGGATTTTGGGATGATTCGTTCCACAGCAAGTGTTGTTTTGTTTCTTGCCTGAAAAGGGCTGAACGTGTGGGAATAATGATTCTAGCTCCTCAATGTTTTCCATGGAAGAGATATTTAGCTACCCCCCCACGAGGGTTACATGTGGCACAAGGCCGAGTTTAACGTGGGATCTCCGAGCCCGTTGGCTCGGCCAAAAATATTCCCTCTTTGAACCCGCATAAACGGGTTCAGGGGCAGTCAACCACCCCGAACGAGACTCTGCCCTTCGGGCGGAGCCTCGTCCGGGTTCCTCTCCGCCCGAAGGCAGAGAGACTGTTAGCAAAGTGAGCCATGGAAGTAATGACGGAGTATTGAAAAGCTTGCAACGTTTCATCTGTAGAGAAGAGGGACGTGGAAGGGGGAATGATTCATCACCAAGGAGCCCTCGTAAACGGTTTGGACTCTATCAAAACCGGAAAGTGAAAACTGAACAGCACTAATCCTCCAAGTTTGGTCGGACCTAGCTTCTAGGGCATAGCAGGAGAAGATGTGTAATTTCTCGAACGGTACAATCATGTTTCCAACATCTTTAGAGATGGATCGTATATATGAGTTCCACTCGAAACCTAGAATGAACCTCAGAGGACATGATCATGATGAGTAAATATTTATGACCTTCACATTACTGAAGGAACTTTACTAACTTGCTATTTAATTTATTGAATGTTACAAGCCAGTTATTTTCTTTATCGAGGTGTTAGAGCTAGTTCGAACGAGCGATCAGCTGCCCGTCTCTGGTTATCTAGACTTTAAGAGTTTCACCCTTACACTTTGGTAATATCTGCGTACATATTCTCTAATAATCTGTATGTTCTTATGCAGATTTTAATATATAATTGGTATTAAGAAAACATTCCTGTTAAGGACTTGAGAAAATCCTTCCAGATATTCCGTACCAGGAGAGTTTAAGTAGGACTCCTCTATGAATCATATTTTCAAAGGCTTTCTATATATGTGTAAGGCAATCTTTCTCGTAAAGAATTTGTCTAGTTCGTCACTGGTTCTGTCTGAACTTCAGCAGTAGGCCTAGAATGCCTAAATCCATACTGTTTGACGATCAGGAGTCATCTGTTGAGGTGATCAACAACAACATTTTTTATCAAAAATACAAATAGTTTACTGGTTAAACTAAGACGACTGATAGATCGATATTGAGTGAGGTTAATGCTCGCCTGCATCCTTGAAAATGGAGTATACTGCTGACTTGGAAAGCATTTCATCTTTTGGCAGCGGTTAAGCAGTTTTGCCAAGTTTTGGAGATATATCTGGGCTAATGTTCTTAATAAATACAAGGATTTTATTCAGTCTGATATCCGTCGTAGAATCGAGGCTTTTGATAAGACTATAAGCTTAACATGGTTTGGCAAAAGCCAAAGGTTTAATACACTCAGTGTGTATCGAATTCACTACTCAGAAGTGACTGCCAAATAGACTAGCTGAGTAATCAATGCTTCACACCGAGGCGCAACTAATTTATCCCGCGTAGTTTAGTCTCAGGCCACAAGTATTGGGTGTTGGGTAAAGATCAAAACCTTTGCTGATGTTCTATATGTTGAGCTTGTTAAACCATGGCATCTTTGATCGGGTCAGACAATCCGCATTGTTAACGCTGTTGAATTAACAGTTCCTTCTGTGGAAAATATCGACTGGGCACATCAACGTAAGCCGTAAACGTACGAATATCTGAGGAAACAACGTATAAGACATTGCTGTACAGGCATATATTTCCTATCGGTGATGGATGCGGAGGTTTTATTGCCAGCATGACCTCGACATAACTGACTAAACTCCAATTGTCAACAGGAAAGATGAAATGTATTAAGAAGCTCAAAGATTTGGGAAAGGCACCATTGGCATGGATCATGTACGCTCATATCTGACGGAAAAGCAATAAAATTCGGTGCTATAGTGAGGTCACTGGTAATGATATTTTGGTCTTGAAAATATGGCTAACCGGAGGAACATTATTTCATAAAGCTCTTGCTTGTTCACATCGATATTTGCCTGAATTCTAGATGTGCATCAAAACAGTGTATATAGGTATTTATTAGAATTATATGCACCAATTTAGGAAACGAAAGTAACAAAATTTGCGACCGCTAGAGGACAATCGATTTTACTAACGTAGTCAATTTCCAGGGTGAACATTATTATGTAATTATTCTTCCTAAGTGTGTGTGTGTAACATTTATGTAACAACTACAAAAGACGCCCAGTGTTGCCACATCTATGAAAGAACGTGTATGACCCTAGGTCTAAAAAGCTACATCTGCACTGCCAATTTTAAGATTGGATCAAATGATGCTATTGCTCGAAATCGCGACGAAGCCATTTTATATTATGTGTTTGTGTGCACACTCTTTAAGGAAACATTAATAAAATTAATATCTTCTTAAAAACATACTATATTATTTTAAAGTATGCTATATTTAAAGGGCAAAAGTTCTCAATAACTGGGATATAACATACAAGCTTCAAACAACCCATCGCCAATTAGTATTGACATCAGTTTCCTTCTTATATTTATATATAATTGGAAATGGATTAAATCCGATAATTATATAATATATTTTCTGTTTATGCGTTATTTATTATGGATACATTTATAGAAGTAAATTCCCTGTTCTTTAATTAAACAGTATTAATTACATTTACCGGCATGAATCCATTAAAATAACGTATAAAAGAAAATATATATATATATATATATATATATATATATATATATATATATATATATATATATATATATATATATCCGAGCGCTTTCGGCTATGCATTTAGTCCTTTTCAAGGATTAAATATTTTAACTGTTAAATAAGAAATAAATGCAGAGACGAAAGCGCTCGGATAAAAAGAAATATTCGGACAGTTTTATATAATTTATCATCTGAAAAAAAAACAAACACCTTGTCTGTCGTATTCAATGACATGTGCATGAAAAAAGGATTGCTGACTTCATATATATATATATATATATATATAACGTCCGACGTCGACTTTATTTTAACATTAATAATGCATATTCAGAATTTTGTTTTTTTCTGTATTTTTCTTTCATATATATATATATATATATATATATATATATATATATATATATGAGTGATTTAATTCTGTTTTTTTTTTATTTTAACAGTGAAATCGATATCTAACTGCTTATGCAATAGGAAGTTTCTTTTTTACTGAAGATTTGCACCCGTAAAGTTTATAAGATAATTACAATACAATTTTATATTTAGTTTCATCTTTATCCCTGCAAAACTGTAAAAATGTCTGTTATTCTCTTGATATCCGCCATTGCTATACACACTTTTAACTCCATCGTCAATGTCTACTTATAATCTTTTTATTAAAAAATTTGTAAAAATTACAAAAATATCAAAAAATTGCAATGCGATTGTAATTATTAACAATTTTATAAGTAACTATGAAAACATGTTTTTATTCATTCTAATAGTGTTTAATATCTTTGTCAATTCTCAAGAAAAAAGAAAATTAATTCCACTGACATGTTTGAGTTTTGTTAAAATTTTAACTATTGCTTTCTAAAACAAATCTTTCCGCGGAAGTCAAAACTGTATGCAATAATAGTAGAGTGGGTGTCAAGGATTTTTTTTTCCGTGAACGAAGGTTAGACCTTTCAGCAAAGTCCTATTTTATTTAATTTTTCTCGTGTTTTAACTATTTATTTAGATTTCGCGGAGACATTAAACATAAATCTTTCAGGACGAATAAAATGAGACCAGGAATTTAACGAAGAATTTTTTGTTGGTTTTCAAACAAAGACGTAGGAAACATTGCTTCCTAAATAAACAACAAGAGAGACAGAGAGATAGAGAGAGATATATATGAAAGAAAGCGTGGATCGATAAGCAGAGATATTTATGCCTTTTTGCTGGAGAAATATATTTTTACACACGCACACATATATAAGCGGAGATAGAACCTAAAATCAGAATGTATGTTTAAGCTATATATATATATATATATATATATAACAGCCGAATTTATTTGGGGTTTTTGACTTGATAACTGCTTGTTCTAATTAAACATTATTTATGAAAAACGTAATTATTGTTACAAAATTTTCCCTCTTCTGCGATTTTCATAAGTGAATTAGAACAATAATGGATTAAATTAATTTCAATATTTTTACATGTGATTTTCATTGAATACTTTTTCTCGGTTGCATACTTTGACTTTTGTGTAACTTTGTTGTACTTGCATATTTATGTGAGTTATGAATATAAAACACAAATGCATTCAATATCAGCTTCCACACACAAACACGTGTGTGTATATATATATATATATATATATATATATATATATATATATATAAAGTGAACATAGAAGTCAACACTTAGAGGCGACAGTCTGTTTCATGCTATATGCAATCGTCAGGCCACGAGTGCTCTGATATTGAGCACTTTATCCTATAAATATAGCACTTCTTATGACTATATTTCTTCATAAGTACGATTCGGTACGATAAGAACGAATAGCCTACAATTCCAACGTTCGTAACATTTAATTTAAAAGAGGGATCAATACAGAGTAGAGCAATATTATTTATTTTAAGATATTACATC